TCAAGGGGCTCCCAGAAGAATTTTGTCAGGAAGGAATTGCATATCTCTAGGCTAGAGGGGGATTCAAAAGTTTTTTATGTGGAGACGAAAGCCTGTGCTTCTTCAAAAAAGGAAGGTAATATTGGGGGGGAAATTACTTGCTGTTCAAGAAGCAAACCAAAATATGGAAGGTCTTTTTTGTTTTTTTATTTTTTCAATAATTAATCAAATATGAGAAACAATAATTCTAGAACAAAATAAACAAAACAGAATTCTTTCCTTGCCAGGCCATTCCCAAAGAAAGAAAATATCTCTTTGAATATATTAAATTCTCTTTGAATTAATAGCAAAGTTTCAATTAAAATAATGTCCTCATGTTGGCTGTAGTGATTTAGCACTTTATTAGATATATCACCTGTTCTTAGAGGATCGTCTTCAGGCTTTCAATTTTTTCTTCTTTAAAAAAAAGTTTAAAGAAATTTTTTTCTACAACTTTAAATGTAAAGCTTTTAATATTTTCTTCTCTTATATTTTTACATTTTAACCCAGTGCTCATTGGATTGTTTATTTAGATATTAATTCAGTCTTATAATTTTTTAAAGATAAAAACTGTATTTTGCTTTTTGAAATGCTAAGCTCATAAAACATTGCATAGTTTAAAAACTCACTATTTTCAGAGTTTTCAACATTCTTCTCAGCATCACTGTAGACATGATTGTTTTCCCTAGCAGCATTGATGACTGCATATCTCATTTTGTGATACTCAGTTTAGGTTTTTCTTTCCATTCAATAAAATATATTTCCTTTTAAAATAAAAAAATAGCATTAACAGTTATTTCCGAGTGAAGCAATGAGGGACAATTTTAATTTTCTTCTTATGCTTTTTGATTTTATGAATTTTATCTATTTTATCGTTTTTCAATTAGGAAAAACAATAATTAAAATTGCATCATGGAAGGTTTCCATGGTCTTAGAGAGGGAGAATTGAGTTTATCTCTGGGGCAGACTTTCATCTTGCATCTCACTTCCCATTGGTGAAATGCAGGCTCCATGCTAAACATGAGTCTATTTCCCTTACGTAACAGGGATGCAGTGCGAAGGGGCTTGGGGTGCAGGCTGGACTCATGACTTTGCAGGGACCCCTACCCTGATGATGTTGCTGACACCATAATCATCACTGCTGCTCTTGGAGCCTCCATGTTTATTTGCTAGATTTTCACACACTTATTTCTGTGTCGCATTGTCTACTTCCTGGCTTCACTGTTTTCTCTGCTAGACCATAAATATTGTCTGTGTTTCTGGTTTCATCTTTTAATGAGAAGACCATTGTTAAAGCAATGACCCATGGTGTATGATTTCCAAGTGTAGAGTCTCCCAAACTCACTTTTCTTGAGGTCCCTATCATACAATGATCAATCATCACTGTCCTGTTTGTTCTTCTTGATAAATTATCACTCTTTGACTAGGCATGGTGGCTCCTGCCTGTAACCTCAGTGCTTTGGCAGGCTGAGGTGTGAGGATTGCTTGAGGCCAGGAGTTTGAGACTAGCCTAGACAACATCATAAGACCCCATCTATACCAAAAGCATTCCCACCCTTTGACATTCAGTCCAAGGGATGCTTTCTCTGTACTTATCTTCCAACAGCCACATCTCTGTCCTTGAATGAATTTAGACCTTCTGTTTTTATCTGACAGCACAGTGTGGACAGGCTGAGCTTCTTATCTAAATGCTGCAGACAATAGAAGGTCTAGAAATGAATTTGATACTGCAGTTGGCATGACCAATGTGGTTGTTGCAGAGCTGACTATCGGATGTGCCTTTATCTGGTTCCAGACTACGAGGTCTGCACAAATAAAAATTATGTTTCAGATGATTTGGATTTCTTCCATCAGTTCTAGCTGAAACTTACATAAAATGTCAACCTAACCAATTCACACAATAAGGATGCACGTGATGAGAAGGTACTAGACATGGACTGATGAGACTCTGGCTCTTAATGGTAACTCTGCCTACATGCTAGCTCCTCTGGTGCTCTTCAGATAGAGACCAGATGTCTCAACCAAGTCTGACAGTGTCTGCAGGTGGCAACAAAGAGAGAGGGAACATTTGTTTTTCTTTTGAGACAGGATCTTGTTCTTTCACCCAAGTTGGAGTGCAGTGGCCCCATCTTGGCTCATTGCAACTGCTGCCTCTTGGGTTCAAATGATCCTCCAGCCTCAGCCTCCCAAGTTAGCTGGGACTACAGGCACACACCAACATGCGTGGTGAATTTTTGTATTTTTTCTAGAGATGGGGTTCTGCCATGTTTCCCAGGCTGTTCTCAAACTCCTGAGCTCAAGCAATCCTCCTGCCTCAGTCTCCCCGAGTGCTGGGATTACAAGTGTGAGCTGCCATGCCCAGGTGGGAGTAGAAACACTTCCTAACAGCACCTGATATGGCTTAGCTGTGTCCCCACCGAAATCTCGTCTTGAATTGCAAGCATCTCCATGTGTTGTGGGAAGGGCCTGGTGGGAGGTCATTGAATCATAGGGGCAGGTTTTTCCCCTGTTCTCTTGATAATGAATAATTCTTATGAGATCAGATTGTTCTATAAAAAAGCAGTTCCCCTGCACCTGCCCTCTTGCCTGCCACCATGTAAGATATGTCTTGCTTCCCCTGCACCTGCTGCCATGATTGTGAGGCCTCCCGAGCCATGTAGAACTGTGAGTCCATTAAGCCTCTTTCCTTTATAAATTAACCAGTCTTGGGTATGTATTTATTAGCAGCATGAGAAGAGACTAACACAGCACCCCAGGAAATCTAACCTTATGTGTCTTTAGACAAAGTGGTGTTGTAGGCCTATGTTCAAACCACATGTGGCACAAGAAATGAAACCACTCATGGTTGGCTTTGATCAACCAGCATTTGATCAAAAGCTTCTCTTGGAATATATGACCTCAGAGAAGTAGAATGTTACCCCTCCAAAAAAACTTGGACCCTGCCAGCAACAATTACGCAGAGACAGGATGTAGGTTGGGGGGCTCAGTAAGGGTTTTCTGAATGTATGTGGTATCTGTGTCCTCAAAATTATCCTCATGTACAATTATTTTGCTGAGGAGCTACCAGGACCAGAACAACCAAGCTTTTTCTAGGACACACAGTTGACTGGAAGAATCAACAAAGCTTTTTTTTCCTCTCTTTAGAAATCCTTTGACCTATTTCCATTTTCTTTCTTAGTAACTTGTTAAAATTACCCAGAACTTCTGTCAGGGCACTTGCCTTGGGTAATTTCGAAATATTGTGCATCGAACATCGTGAAAATTCCACTTTATATTAGATTGAATAAACGTAGTCCACACAGAGGGGAATGTTAATGCTGGAATTCCTTTGAGTCCCGATTGGAAAAATGTGGCCCATTTCCACAGTTCTTGCATCTTTAAATCCATTTGGTTTCAATGATAGTCGCTATCTTTTGACAGAACTGAAGTTTGGGCAGCTAGCCCAGCTCTGAGGTTAGGTTTGGGTGCAAAGGTAATGGGAGATGAAGATTCAAATTTCCTTTGTATGAAACACAAACTTTCAAACGATGTCCTGTGACTTTCCATAGTGATTTCTATTTGGTCACAGTTTGCATAGGCAGGAAGAATCTCTATACTTCATACCAATATTATCTTTAGATAAGAATGGGAGCAGAGTTCATCTTTTCAGGGTTTGAAATAAAATAATTTTCTTCTTCTAAATGAAAATTCCTGCTGAGGGATAGGAATAGCCTTTTCACACATAATAATACAAAAACAGTACTTCACATGATCTGAAACCCCCCAAGTAATTCCATCTTTATTTGTGTCTCAATGTTTGATTATGCAATTATTTGGATATTTAGTATTTTAAAATTGAAGGAAAAATTGGATTCTATTGCCAGTAAAGCTTGTAAGTCTATCTTAATTGATACGTATTGGAATCTGTTTTATGTGACATATATGGTCGTATGTGGTACATGTTAGAGACCATAAAAAATACAGTCTGAATGTTTAATAAAAAGAAATATTTTAATTCTTGGAGGCTATGGATTATGTTTGCTAACTCTCCCAATTTAACCAGGGTCCACATTGACTACATACTTGTGGGGTGATTGATTTCTTTATATCCTTTATCATTTTTTTTACAGATACATTTTCTGCTTTTGATTTCTTTACATTTCCTTGTAAAATTAAGCACAAGTCCTAGATGTAATGACTAGGAGTTCAATGGAGCATAATAATTAATACCTGTGTCCTTGTACCTTACAGAGTGTCCTATTTTAGTTTTTTGGAGACAGGGTCTCACTCCGTCACACAGGTTGGAGAGTGCAGTGGTGCAATGGCAGCTCACTGCAATCTCCGCCTCCTGGGTGCAAGTGATCCTCCAGCTTCAGCCTCCTGAGAAGCTGAGAATACAGGCAGGCACTATCATGCCCAGCTAATTTTTGTATTTCTGATAGAGATGGAGTTTTGCTACATTGTCCAGGCTGGTCTTGAACTCCTGGGATCAATTGATCCACCTACCTTGGCCTCTCAAAGCACTGGGATTGCAGGTGTGCTTCACCATACCCAGATGTGTCTTATTTTGAAAGTCCATTATCTTTAAACTTAGTTCTCTTTTTATCTCAGGCGAGAATATTGTATAGCGTTTATTCTCATTAGTTCTTAAGTTTGAATTCCCCTTTATCACCTTCTAATAAATTTAAATACGTACATGTCTATACTACCTAGTCTAGTGGGTTCAACATTGGCAGCCTGTTTTCTTGACTGTAGCATCCTGATTATTTATAGATGATAAATAAATCTATCATCATAAATCTATATCTCACGCTTTGTGATTTTTCCCTGTCTTATTTGCAGTAGAAATATGTATAGGAAAATCAGAGATTGTGACACACTGACATTCCTGTTGGCTCCACTATGGGTGGGCATTGATTTTTATATCATGAATGCATCATTTTCAACAATTAACATTGCAGGGAATGTGTTGGAATAAGTGGCTTGACTTTTCCATCACCCACCCAAGCTACCCCATGAGAAATGTGCTATCTGGAGGGTACACGTGGTGTGACCAACACTCAGAGCCGCCATAGGGATGGTGATAATTGGTTGGTTGTCGTCTTTTGTGACCTTCCCCTAAGGAAAACAGAGGGCAATTGAGGCTCTCCACTTCTAAGTACTCATTTAATGATACTTCTCTTTGAATTACTCTTCTAAAATGTTGGGTTTATGGAGCCAAGGCAACAATATTTTAGGACCCTTCTCTCTCTGGAAAAAAATTAATTTTTGATCTGAAATGAAAGCACTGAGTCAAGAGGAAAGAAAATGTGAAGTGACTCATGTTCCTTGGGTATTGGTGACAGTCTGCCCTTGGTTTCTTTCCCAGCAATGTGGTGGCCATATTTTCCCAAGCTCAACCCACACGCCACGGGCCTGGGAAGGTACAGGAGAAAGATAGATTTAAAACCAGGAAGACCCACATTGGAGATCTTGTCCTGGAACTCATCTTTTCTTTCTATGATATTTGCTTTCCACTTGCCCTTTAAACCTGCATCTCCTCATCTATTGAGTAAGATTTGTTATACATGCTTGCTACTTTTTGTTGTATTTACAATTCGATTCAGGATTTGGTATGATTTAGGATTCAATAAATGCCTGCCTCCATCCATTCCTTTCTCTTCCTATCATCTTTCTCTTCTTTGAGCAATTCTCATCTTTTCTTTTTTTCCTCCATATGGGTAAAACGAGGTTACTTTTTTCTTTCTTTCTTTTTCTTTTCTTTTCTTTCTTTCTTTTTTTTTTTTTTTTAGACAAGGTCTTGCTCTATCACCCAGGCTGAAGTGCAGTGGTGTAATCACAGCTCACCGCAGCCTGGACCTCCTAGGTCTACCTACCTCAGCCTCCCAAGGAGCTGGGACCATATGCATGAACCACCAGGCCCAGCTAATTTTTTTATTTTAGGGACAGTGGCTCCCTGTGTTGCCCAGCCTGGTCTTGAGCTCCTGGACTCAAGCTCCTGGTCTTAAGCAATCCTCCCATCTTGGTGTCCCAAAGAGCTGGGACTACAGGAGTAAGCCACCGTGCCCTATCTGAGAAAATATTTTAAATAGGGATTGACCTAAAACGTTCTGGTCATGTGGCCCTCAAATTAGCAGCTACTCTGTCTCCTTCTTGATAGGAATTAATTTGGGAGACGCCTTTTGGATTCCTCGCTGTCATCATATAGACCCCTGCTCTTGGGCTGGGAGACATTTATGAACTGATTTTTTATTAACCTGGGTAGGTTGCATATTATATTTGAGGATAGAGTCATGCTCATAACTAGACCCAGAGAGTTTAGCAATATAGAAGTTTGTGCTTCTATAGAGTGAGAATCTCAACTCAGGCAGGAAATGTCATGAATAGCAATAAGAAGTTGGCTTTCCATATGCTGTATGGGTAGGGGCGCTTTGTTGAAAGTGACCAGCTATGCTTATCACATAGTCCTCACCTAATTAGAAACAGAGAGATTTGCTTGTGAAATACAGTTTTCCCTTGGTATCCATGGGTGATTGATTCAGCCACCTCCTAGAGATACTAAAATCCATGGATGCTCAAGTTCTTGATATAAAATTGTGTAATATTTGCATATCACCTCTGCAGACCTCTTACATACTTTAAATCATTTCCAGATTACCTAGCATACTTAATGCACTGTATATGATATTTAAATAGTGGCTGTACTGTATTATTTACAGAATGATGACAACAAAAATACAGCCTGCACTTGTTTAGTACAGATGAATTTTTTTTTAGTATTTTCGATTCGTGAGTGTTTGAATTCACAGAATGGAGGGCTGATAGTGAAATTAATTATTGCTATCCTCTTTTCTTTATTGTGAAACTTATGTGGGAGGATTGCTTGAGCCAGGAGTTCAGAACCTGCCTGGACAACATGGTAAGACTCCAAATCTTTTTCTTTTTTTTTTTAACTTTTTTTCTTTTTTCTTTTTTTATTACACTTTAAGTTGTGGGGTACATGTGCAGAGTGTGCAGGTTTGTTACATAGGTATACACGTGCTGTGGTGGTTTGCTGCATCCATCACCCCATCATCTACATTAGGTATTTCTCCTAATGCTATTGCTCCCCAACACCCTCACCCTTCCCTGTGATCCCTTCCCTAGCCTCCCATCCCCCAGGCCCCAGTGTTTGATATTCCCCTCCCTGTGTCCATGTGTTCCCATTGTTGAACACCTACTTATGAGTGAAAACATGAGGTGTTTGGTTTTCTGTTCTTGTGTCAGTTTGCTGAGAATGATGGTTTCCAGTTTCATCCATTTCCCTGCAAAGGACATGAACTCATCCTTTTTTATGGCTGCATTGTATTCTGTGGTGTATATGTGTTGAGCCTTCTTTATCTAGTCTATCATTGATAGGCATTTGGGTTGGTTCCAAGTCTTTGCTATTGTGAACAGTGCCATAATAAACATACGTGTGCATGTGGCTAAGACTCCTAATCTACAAAAAAAAAAAAAGTTGGGCAGAGTGGTACATGCCTGTGGTCCCAGCTACTTGGGAGGCTGAGGTGGAAAGGTTGCTTGAGCCTGGGAGGTTGAGGCTGCAGTGAGCTGTGATTGCACCACTGCATTCCAGCCTGGGTGCACAGAGAGACCCTGTCTCAAAAAATATTATATATAATCTGGTAATAACTATAAAACTCCTCTGTTAGATCCATAAACTTCTTTATACATTATTTAGAGGGAATTATTTTGTTAGTTACCTTCTATTAATTTCTTAAAGAGTACACACGCACACAAAAGGTTGAAGAAGGTTAACGCTAGATCCGATATTTTCAGTGATTTATTCTATTTCTTTTTTTCTCTTCAAACATAACACTCTTTTCCTTCTGAAACCATCATCAGGTGGTGGAGCATTTGTTGTTCCTGCCAGGTTATTTTCTCCACTGTTTCAAGGGAGAAAATGAAAGACTGGGTGACATGTTGCCCAAGGCACTTCCCAACTCCTGGCTTCATTCTGTTCATTACCACTCACCTGGTCCCCTGTAGCCCACAATCTCCTGGCCACACAAGCGTGATCCAAATCATATTCTGTCAGCAGTTGCCCTTGTCACAGCTGCACTGCTGTTCCTGTTTCCCCAGCATCTCCTAGCCAGTGCCCAAATTGTCATGGCCAAGGTTTTCCTCTGGTGTTCTTGGTCTCCCCCGGGACCTCAGATGCCCTTTGCCATGGAGGAGGAAGGATGGCTTGCCCAAGCACAAAAGATGTGGCTTCACTGCCACATGCTCCCCATTTCTGGGCTCCTTTTCTTTCTTACATTTGCCCACTACTCAAGGCTCTTCCCCATTAAGACCCAACCTCCAACCACATGCCAGTTGCAAGATTTCTGGTGATGAAGTGTCACTGAAGTGAGCCTGATTGAGGAAGGTGAGGAATTGGCACACAGAATAAGAACTTCAAGTGTTCATATCAAGAAAGGGAGGGTTTTTTTTTTTCTTTTATCTTTTGCAGGGAATTGATAATGAAATGGTGAGGAGCCTCGAACTACACACTTTGGCCTCACCCTGCATTAACTCCTGAACTCCCAACTGTGTTTCTGCCTTCTCCTTGTACTGGAGCCTACGACTACTTCATAAGGAAGAAAAGATAAGAGCATGCTTAGCCATGCTGAGAAACAGAAATGTTCCAAGCTCTTTCCAAAATACGCACATAGATATGAGATAGCCATATCTATCTCTAACTCTATCTAGCTGTATGTCTACCTGTCTCTATCTCTCAATCTATCAAGTATCTATTTATTCAATCATCTATTTACCCATGTATCTTCCATGTATCTCATCTATCCATCTATCATATCTGTGCATCTATTCATTTATCATATCTCTGTATCTATCCATCTATCATATCTCTGTATCTATCCATCTATATCTATGTATCTCATCTACCTACCCATATATTATATCTCTGCCTGTGTCCATCTATTCTTTTATTTCTTTCTTCTTTCTTTCCTTCCATCTGTCCATTCATCTATCTATCTATCTAATCTGCCTGTCCGTCGACCTATTCATCTATCCATCCATCTATCATATCTATTCTATCTACCTTCTATCTATCTCTATCATCTATCCATCTATTATCTACCTAGTTATCTATTAACTGTCTCCTCTATATAATCATCTATCATCTATCTATAATCTGTTTACTCACCTACTATCCTTCTCACCTATCTAGCTATAATCAATATGCCATTTCTAGAAAGTTTCAAAGGGACAATTTGGAAATTTGCAAGTGTTCTCTCCACTAACCTGAGAAGTCAGAATGGGATGAAACCTTCCTTTGTGGCAGCTCTTGTTGGAAGAAAAATGCAGGTGGTAAAATTTGTGTGGCTTAGGCATAGTGCACAAACCATCACTCAAAAAAGAAAGACCTTTCTCTGGACCAACAGCCTCGTGTCAAATGCAATTCTGTCTTCCAATCATCAGCATTTGTAATAAGCATCTGGAGAGCTAAACTTCACCTTGGAGCCTGCTTTGAAGAGAACTCAACCACTCCCAAGTCCAATCTGCCTCTCCCACAGTCCATTTCACACACTGCTCTCTCTGGCTACCCTGTAGCTGGAGTCTCTCGTGTCTCCCAAGATTCTTATTTGCCATATGGGAACTGCTGCATCTGGATTACAAATTTCCCCATTTTTTCCTGCCATCCCCAACTTAAAGCAAGCTGTTCCCTCCCCCCCAGTAACGTCTTATAACACCTTGTTCACAAATAGCTCCAAATTCTTAAGTCCTGTATTCAGTTGTAACTCATGCACATCTTCTCTCTTTGCCTCCCAGATATTCTTCCTCTTCTTTTCTAAATTTCTTCTTTTAAAATCCAGTTTATTGGGAAGCCGAGGCCAGTGGATCACGAGATCAAGAGATCGAGACCATCCTGGTCAACATGGTGAAACCCCGTCTCTACTAAAAATACAAAAAATTAGCTGGGCATGGTGGCGCATGCCTGGAATCCCAGCTACCCAGGAGGCTGAGGCAGGAGAATTGCTTGAACCCAGGAGGCAGAGGTTGCGGTGAGCCGAGATAGCGCCATTGCACTCCAGCCTGGGTAACAAGAGCGAAACTCCACCTCAAAAAAAAAAAAT